ATAGTTACAGTTTACTAATAAAACTCTCCACAGTATGAACAGTGGTTACATGAGCCTCAAAACCAGACACAACTCAGCCCTGAGCAGAGTGACCGTCCTCTACTGACCAATCAGACTGCAGTGTTCACAGCTCCACCTTTTAGTACCAGATCTGTGTGCTAGGTACCCCAACAGAGGGGGGACCAAACATGGGGACGCTAAGGAACGCTTCCGTTGGTACCATCCACAACTTTTCACCGTGGAAAAAAAGCATACCGTACTGAACTGTACCGTACAGCTCAGTAGAAACGGGGCTTTAGTGTCTGACAAACAGGCAGTATCAGTTGACACACGTACAGCTTTCCAGTACACATTAAAAGGTGTTTCCCGTCACTTAAGCAACTGTTTTCCTGCTATTCAGACAACCATCTCCAAGAACAATTGCTTCTCCTCACATCATCAAATCTGGCCAGAATTGTACCAGGTCTTTTAGCTAATGTCATGAGTAATGAGTTTCAGGTCATTTACACTATAATGTCAAGTCTCTGATCATGTGACGAGATGATTTATGCACGATAGTGTGCACTAAGGCCCATTGTAACTACCATACGTCACTGAGGACAGCATTTGCATTTCTGCATACAAGTTTCCACCCACATCACACCTTATTTTCTCTCCTCTAGTGAAGCTGGGAAAATAATCTCTTTGTATTTTTTGATGAAGACAACCAGCATTCATTGCATAAAAGAGTTACACGTGATCATGTGGCCAGAGGTAAATGAACTGTCCACCTCTGTAAGGTCAAGGAATGAAGAGAGGTGGAAGTGAAACCACCGTGAAAACCACAAGAGAATGATGACACACATCCCATACAGTTACAGAACGTTCTGGAATCGTCTCAGCATCTCAGATAGGAGTTTTAGATGGAGCAGAATTGAAAATGCAGCGGACATTTTGTGTTATGTCGGGTTTTGAACCTCATCTGAACCGTTTTTACAGTGAACGTTCAAAATGGCTTATAAATACTCAGAGTTCTGGTGGCGCTTGAACTTTGAAGAAGTGAACTCAGCATAGAGAAATGCACATCGCCAACATGTGACTGCAAATGAATGGCCTTGCTGAATGTAACAACTCATTGCTGCAGAGTACTCGAGATGGTAATCAAACACAGGCGGGAAAAGTGAATAAAAGTAGTATCCATGGCAACAGCTGATTATTTTGTGAATTTCCAAGGTTCAGTCATACGTCATTCCCGAGAATATGATTAAATGGAATAAGAAACACAAAGGAGGTTCGGATTTAGGTGTGAGTGGAAGAGGCGTGGAGAGCTGGTGAGGCTCAGTCAGGGTTATAATCAGGCAGAGGAAGATCTGCTGACTGCATTTTTTAAATCCACTTTTCCTTCTCCTCCACCAGCTTGCCCCAGACGACGCCTGGAAGTGTCCCCACTGTAAGCAGCTGCAGCAGGGCATGGTGAAGATGAGCCTGTGGACGCTGCCAGACATCCTCATCCTCCACCTGAAGCGCTTCAGGCAGGTGGGGGAGCGGAGGAACAAGCTCACCACGTTCGTACATTTCCCTCTGGCGGGTCTGGACATGACACCTCACATGGTGAGCCGCAACCACAGCGCCCATCAGCCACCTCTCCAGCCTGGCTGGAAACAGTCCCGACGACCCGACCTGGCTCCTCCTGACTTCCTGTACGATCTGTATGCTGTGTGCAACCACCATGGAGGGATGCACGGCGGCCATTACACAGGTCTGAATCACTAACACCTTCTGAGGAAAGAGTTGAAGTAATAATGATCATATCATTTAATAACATTTTTATTTATATGGCACTTTTAAAAACCAAAGTGCTTTACAGTGACACAAGGAATAAAAAGTAAATAAAAACAATATGTAAATGATGAACTGATTTAAACTAAATCAATACAACACATTAATAAAACTTGGTCCTAAGAAGAGATTAAAAAAGAGGCCCTGCTTTAAAACTGACTCACTGACAGGGCTTCATTTTGGAGCTGCTGGTAGAGCACTCTCAGTGGATCTCAAGCAGCGATCAGGCTCATACGGTGTTAGCAAATAACAGATATAAATAGAAGCCTGGTCGTGGAAGGCTTTAATAAGGAGCAGTAAAATTAACTTTCATAGACTGGTGTGACGCGGTCGAAAGCCCAGCAGCAGTGTTTTGTGAGAGCTGTGGACTCGATAAGAGAGTGTTAAGAGTGTTAGTGCTGAGGTCAGAGAGGGTCGTTATAATGATGTCTAATTTAGAGCTGTTTAAGTAAATAACTGCAGGATGTGTTTAACACACTCAGGTCTTAAGTTCAGCAAGTCAGTACATTAAACATGGCACATCAATTGTACCTGAAAAAATGAAGCCAACGTTGAAGTGCTAAAAACTGCAGTTCATCTAATGGCCACTTGAGGGTGGCTACAAGAGCGAGTCACTCCCCATAGACCTCCATTAAAATGCTCACATTCACTTCATAAACATGTTCACAGCCTGGAACTGCAGAGGGGTGAATTTTTATATAACTCACCTGTTTAAATGTTATTAGGGCTTAAAGTTATGCATAGTAAAGGCCTTTGCACACTGAGTCTGTTTTTCTTTTTTTGCAAAGACTTGTTTTTATTAACAGATGCTCAAATTACAGTGCATGTGTGAGGTTTCCATTTGTGCATTTGAAAGTATTATTTTAAAAAGAAAATGTAAAAGTAAAAGGAAAAAGATAATTGACTGATGATTCATTTTTCATCCGAAACTGTCGCACGTCTAAAAATAAATACGACCTCACTTTGTGTTAGTCACGTTTGCACGCTGAGTCTAAAATGTCCTCTCGTTTGAGGACAGTGGGACTTAATTGTTGTTTTGTTTGAGGACATTGGGACTTAATTGTCGTCTCGTTTGAGGACATTGGGACTTAATTGTCGTCTCGTTTGAGGACATTGGGACTTTACTATCATTGTCTCATGTGAGGACATTGGGAATTTATTATCTTCTTGTTAGAGGACATTGGGACTTTATTATCGTCTATTTTGAGGACATTGGGACTTTATTATCGTCTCGTTAGAGGACATTGGGACTTTATTATCGTCTCGTTTGAGGACAGTGGGACTTTATTATCGTCTATTTTGAGGACAGTGGGACTTTATTATCGTCTCGTTTGAGGACAGTGGGACTTTATTATCGTCTATTTTGAGGACAGTGGGACTTTATTATCGTCTATTTTGAGGACAGTGGGACTTTATTATCGTCTAGTTTGAGGACAGTGGGACTTTATTATCATCTTGTTTGAGGAAGTGGGACTTTATTATCGTCTCGTTTGAGGACAGTGGGACTTTATTATCATCTCGTTTGAGGACAGTGGGACTTTATTATCGTCTCGTTTGAGGACAGTGGGACTTTATTATTATCGTCTCGTTTGAGGACAGTGGGACTTTATTATCATCTTGTTAGAGGACATTGGGACTTTTTTTAATGTCTTGTTTGATGATATTGGGACTTTATTATCCTCCTGAGACCCTGTGTCCTCATATGAGGACATCACATTTTGGGTTTACTTGACATTATACTTCATTTTACCTAATTCAGAGCTGTTGTCCTCCTTCGTGGACACTTTTTTCTGCCCCCAAAATCCAGTATTAGTCATTGTACTAAAAACCAAGTGGGAATACAGTCTGAACATTTTAGATCATAGTCCTAAAATGTTTTTACATGCCACCTCACCACACTGACATGAATTAACCTGGATCAATGATCTTTTAACATTTTCTGTTTCCAGTCTTTGATGAAGATCATTTCCTTCCATTGTTCTTGTGATTGCAGCCTTCTGTAGGAACTCAGTGGACGGGCAGTGGTACAGTTATGATGACAGCAGTGCTGAGCCGGTGCCAGAGGCGGAGGTGTGCACACGTGGAGCCTACATCCTCTTCTATCAGAGAAGAAACACCATACCTCCTTGGTCTGCCAGCTCCTCAGTCACCGGTTAGCCCTTTCAAATCCTCTGTCATGGTCGGTTATGTTGAGAACAATCAGGTGGATCCTGCTCTACGTGCTTTTAACGAAACACAAAAATAATGGAGGGGATGTGGGAGTATCATCATTACACCTCACACCATCAGAATCTGTTATTTCTTCCCCTGTGTAATTTCACTCTGCCAAATTGCTTGATGTGCCGCATCAGTGTGCATTTTCAGTGTGATCTGAGTTACTGTCATTAGCCAACAAATGCAGATGGTTCTCAATGGTGGCAGAGAGAAGCTGACCTGCTGCCAGCGAGGTCACAGAAGCATTCATCCTTATGCATTCGGCAAAATGAGGGTGGGTGGAAATTGTGATGATACCCTGTGATCACATAGATCTAATTTTGCAGTGTGGATCTCACAGTGACTCATGTGAGGACAATAGACGCTGCAGCGGGAAGCCTTCTGTCTCTCTGGGAACATGTTGGGGACTTGTTTCTGGATACATTTATATTCACTGTCTCCTTTTTTGCAGGTTCCACCAGCTCATCCGCGTCTGACCACTGGCTGGTCAGACTGGCAGGGGACAGTAAGAGGGGCAGCGTGGTGTCAGGAGGACCCATCCCTGGACCTCCAGGGCCCACACAGGCCCCTGAGTCTCCTGAACTGCCGGTGTTTAGAGAGGAACCCCCCAAAGCAGTAGAAACAAGTAGGTGTTCAGGATGTTTAAACTGTCTTGACAGTGTTGCAAGTGCTGGTGCTTGGACACCAGAGGGAGATATTTTTTGAGCGAGAGACATCTGAGCGGCAGCAGGATAAATCCCCACCATGGAGTCCAGACACTGGTGGAGGTGGTGGCTGATGAGGCAGATGAGGCTGATGAATCTGTAAAGACTAGGTGGTGATGGGGAGGTGGAGGGTGTGCATGACGGCAGCAAGAAAAACTACAGCAGAGAAAGAACCATATTTAAAATGAGGAGCAGTAAGATGATAGGCTGACAGAGGAGGTGTGTCACTGTGCTATTGGTTGATTGTGAATCAGCTGATGACGAGGAGTGAATGGCAGGGTGAGAAAGAAACTTACAGCCTCGAGCTTCATTTGTTTATGAATTGTTAACACCATCTTTTTCTTCTAGATGGGTTCGAAGCCAAACCGTTTGTCCGTGGGAGCCAAGGCAGGAGCGTGAGCATGAGATCACCAACGAAGCCGAAGGAGCCTCTGAGCAAAGTTCTGCCACTGCGGTGGTCTTTTGGTTCCAAGGACCGCATCAGACACCCGGCCCAGACCCAGCCTGGAGAGCTGGTGGAGTACCTGGAGTCCGGGCGCCGCCCACGATGTACCAAAGACCCGATCATAACGCTGGTGGCCACGCCGCCACAGAGGAGCGCCCAGGGAAGAGCCTTTGAAGTAGGACAGGACTGCAGCTCACCGAGCGGCAGCAGTCTTAGTTATACAGACAGACCCAGCTCCGACACTTGTTACTCCCCCAAAATACCAGAGGGACAGAGCAGAGTCTGTCTGGAGAGGAGCATGAGCCAGGGAGTCTGTAACAGCAGCAGCGTCAAAGTCAGAGATGATGGTTCTCTGAGGCAGAGGTCATCTAAGAGACTGAGGCAGGACCACGGCAGGACCATGGACCTCCAGATGCAGCTTCAGAGACAGGCTATTCTAGGGGATCACATCAGCCACAGTGCACCTCCGAGCAGAGACTCCACACTGAGAAGGACCAAGGTCCAGACAGGGCCAACCTCCAGGGCACAGAAAGGCTTTTTACAGATGGCCATTCAGCCTGAGGACAGGAAGGGACAGAGAGGTCAGGAGGGTCGCAGCCACGACAGCCTCTTGTCTTTTTTCAAACCTGGTTTCATGAAGAAAGACATTCCTGGGTCACCAATCAAGGGACAAGACCGGCGTCTGAACGGCCACGGACAGCTGGGAAAGCTAGCAAACTGTAATTTAGCCAAACTGTCCCTCTCTAACGGAACGCTGACCACGGCAGCACCAGACGAGAGGAAGGCCAACGTCATCCCGAGTTGTGACGCCCATAACTGCAAAGTCCAGCTGCTCAACGGAAAGGCTGGGATTCATGACCCTGTAGACATTAAACGTGCTCACAGCTCCAGTAACATCCAGACGAGGCTTGATTTGACATTTCGCAGGTGTGCCTCGCTGCAGAGGAACGGCGAAATAATGGCTCCTCCAGCCCATCGCATCCTGCTGTCTGACAAGCCCAGCTACGCCACCCTGCAGCGGACACGCTACAGTACCACCTCCCTGGGTAAGAGTCCTGTCTCTAAGCTGTGTTACTCAGCTACAGACTGATTGGCACAAATAGGAACAAGTCACAGCACTGGGTTAAAGTTTCTCTTCTGGTGTCAACAGTGGAGTGCATCAGCTTTGTGTTAAACTCTGGTAAATATAATCATGCTATAACAACGATGTAAACAGGATTTGATTGGGAAGCTTCCCTGCTGCTGCAATAAGTAAAGCAATAAACGACAGAGTGGCATGAGTTCAGCCTCTCAGAATAAGTGGAAGGTTTTAAATTACGGTACACGCAGCTTCAGTTTTCAATTTAAGGCAAATCTGTTTAATAGAGTACGGCCCAGATCACACAGAAAGTGTTTTGCAGGATGTTAAACACGAGGCGCACCACACAGTTTTTTTCTTATATTGAATTCCACTAGTAAATAAAAAGCACTTGCTGTGCCTTTTTATTGTTGCCAGGCAACCATCCCATCACCTCCTTACCTACCTTCTTAGTTGCTGCCATGTTGAGGCAGAGAGT